TCCACATAAACAATTGTATTTTTCATCATCATCTTCTTCTTTTTCTTTTTCTTTTTCTTCTTCTTCTTCTTCTTCTTCTTTCCATTCTAGTTCTCCTGATTCTTCGTCGCAGCTTCCCCCCTTCCTTCCCCTTTCCTTCTTCTTCATCTTCTGTCTTCTTCTTGTCTTCTTCTTCTGCTCTTTTTCTTCTTTCTTCTTCTTCTTTCTTCTTCTTTCTTCTTCTTCTTCTTCTTTCTTCTTCTTCTTCTCTTCTTTTATTCTTCTTCTTCTTCTTCTTCTTCTTCTTCTTCTTCTTCTTCTTCTTCTTCTTCTTCATCTTCTTCATCTTCTTCTTCATCATATTCTTCTTCTTCTTCTTCTTCTTCTTCTTCTTCTTCTTTCTTCTTCTTCTTTCTTCTTCTTCTTCTTCTTCTTCTTCTTCTTCTTCTTCTTCTTCTTCTTCTTCTTCTTCTTCTTCTTTCTTCTTCTTCTTCTTCTTTCTTCTTCTTCTTCTTCTTCTTCTTCTTCTTCTTCTTCTTCTTCTTCTTCTTCTTCTTCTTCTTCTTCTTCTTCTTCTTCTTCTTCTTCTTCTCTTCTTCTTCTTCTTCTTCTTCTTCTTCTTCTTCTTCTCTTCTTCTTCTTTTCTTCTTCTTCTTCTTCTTCTTCTTCTTCTTCTTCTTCTTCTTCTTCTTCTTCTTCTTCTTCTTCTTCTTCTTCTTCTTCTTCTTCTTCTTCTTCTTCTTCTTCTTCTTCTTCTTCTTCTTCTTCTTCTTCTTCTTCTTCTTCTTTCTTCTTCTTCTTCTTCTTCTTCTCTTCTTCTTCTTCTTCTTCTTCTTCTTCTTCTTTCTTCTCTTCTTTCTTCTTCTTCTTCTTCTTCTTCTTCTTCTTCTTCTTCTTCTTCTTCTTCTTCTTCTTCTTCTTCTTCTCTCTTCTTCTTCTTCTTCTTCTTCTTCTTCTTCTTCTTCTTCTTCTTCTTCTTCTTCTTCTTCTTCTTCTTTCTTCTTCTTCTTCTTCTTCTTCTTCTTCTTCTTCTTCTTTTTTCTTCTTCTTCTTCTTCTTCTTCTTCTTCTTCTTCTTCTTCTTCTTCTTCTTCTTCTTCTTCTTCTTCTTCTTCTTCTTCTTCTTCTTCTTCTTCTTCTTCTTCTTCTTCTTCTTCTTCTTCTTCTTCTTCTTCTTCTTCTTCTTCTTCTTCTTCTTCTTCTTCTTCTTCTTCTTCTTCTTCTTCTTCTTCTTCTTCTTCTTCTCTCTTCTCTTCTTCTTCTTTCTCTTCTTCTTCTTCTTCTCTCTTCTTCTTCTTCTTCTTCTTCTTCTTCTTTCTTCTTCTTCTTCTTCTTCAAATCTTCTTCTTCTTCTTCTACTTCTTCTTCTTCTTCACCCGTCACCTATCAAATACGTGTGCATGCTTGAGGCAGCAGTTTGTAATGCAGCAAATATGGAGTGACACGATTGCTGTGAAGTAAAATTTGCCTGATTAGTAGGCCACTGCTAAATATAAGATGTACAAACTTACACAACGTATTTGATGATAGTCCAGTTCAGAAGTTGTTTCCAAGTTTTAAAATCGTTAACTCAGTTACCGTTCGTGTAAGTTTTGCAAATGGGATATGCAGCATGCTAGTATTTATGTCCTTGCAAGAAATTTGTTTCAAAGTAAACAAACCACTAGTTTTCATTTTTCCTACTCTGCTTATATATATATATATATATATATATATATATATATATATATATATATATATATATATATATATATATATATATGTATATATATATATATATATATATATATATATATATACACACTCACTCACACACACATACACACACGCACTCAAATAGTCACTTACTCACAGGGTACTAGTAACGAACTTAGACCCAGTTCCACCCATTTACACACTAGCTTACCTGTCATTGATAAGTGGTCAGGCTGGTCTACTTTAGAAGTGTTTAGAATGCGCTGTGTCGTAGGACCTAGTTCCAGTGTGTGGGGTTAGGGTGTTGGGATTCGGACCAGTTGTACATATTAAAATGTTAGTTGCGTATCCTTTACAGAACGTTGCAGAACCAAAACCAGGATTTTTTGGTTGTTGTGGTTTTCTAGGAAATTTTACGTCCAAGTTTGCCATTGCTTCTGGACGATCGGCTTCTCGATATCACTGTCGAAACCAACGCAAGGCGCAAAGCCCGCAGCTGGGATCGAACCCGGCACCCCGGCATTACAAAGCGCGTTCGTAATGCCTAAGCCACAGACGCCGACATATTAAAGGGTTGTTAAAAAAACTCACATCCTGTAATATAGAGCACGCGTGGTCGCCAGTAAGACCGTCGAGACAATACAACGAGGCACCAACCTAACATCCATGCCACTCAAACTTACGCATCTCAAAGGTTAACATACATGAGTGAACGTCCAAATCACCGTGATCTAGCCCGACTTGGTCACTCATAAGTGTATAACTTAACGGTGCTGGGCCTGAGTTCGTTACATGTTCCATTCACAGTTAACAGCCAGTATATTTACAGTTAACTGAGTAATGGGAACTTCTCCAAAAAAAAAAAAAAAAAAAAACTGCATGGGCTTTACGGGCGTCTCACTCTCATGTGTTCATCTCCAGAGTTAACTACTGCCCCCCCCCCCCCCCCCCCCCTTTTTTTTTCCACCCCCGATGAGTTATGGATTTTTTCATTCTATGCACGATAGGTTATAACAAAAATCGCTGCTCATCGCTCCATATGTGAACTGGGGGGGGGGCAAACAATGCCCACGAGATATTTGTTTACATGTGCGGGCAAGACTTTTCGAACGCACTATAGTCACTGGTGGGGTCTTGTGTGATGCTCATTGAGTTAAACTTAAATATTAGGCTCTTGTCAGAACTAAGATCTGTGTCGGATGAGTTAAACGGGAATATTAAACTCTTGTCAGTGCTCAGATCAGTGTCGAATGCCTTAAACAGGAATATTAATTTCTTGTCATAACTAAGGTCAGTGTCAAATGAGTTAAACTTAAATATTAAGCTCTGGTCAGAATTGAGATTAGTGGCGAATGGCGATGGCGAAGGCAGATTTCAGGTGTCTGTACTGGCGTGGGTAGGCCGGGTTAGCACCCTTGTCAGACATGGCTCAGGTGGCTTCGTTTGACATGTCCAGTTTCTGCTTGTTTGACTGGCAAAGCCAGTCTTCTTGAGACTCCAGCGGTAGCTAATAAAACAACAAACAAATATTGAATTGTGCCAGACAATAAATATTTCAAGATAAGCAATACAACCGTGTGTGTGTGTGTGTGCGCGCGCGTGTGTGTGTGTGCGTGTGTGTGTGTGTGTGCGCGTATATATATCTCCCCAAAAAAAATGCGGCTGCATTAAAAAAAAAAAAATTAAAAGTGAAGGACCCTTTTCCGCGCCTTGAGGTACATTGGTCATTTCAGGCTAAATAATATTTTATAAACCTATCTGCACTTGGTAGGTCAATGTGGTCAGTATCCCACTAGCCTTCTGTACTGCCCATAACTTTATGTGTCACATAATTGAGGTTGGCGCCGTCAGGACCTGAACACAGGACTATCCGATTATAAGGCGAGCTACAACACGGCGGTTCCAGTTTGCCGAAGTACACTGTCACATATCTTTGGAAGTAATACTTTGTGAAGCCCCTATCTGTTTAACTGCACCACTCATAAACCACTATTGAAAGAACGTCAGATGACGGAGAAGTAAAATCTGTATACACAAGAGAGATGAATGGTCGTAGACCACGAGGCTGACCAAGAAGAAGATGGAGAGATAATGTCCAGACAGACCTGGAAACACTTGGTGTCACCAACTGGAAAGAGAAGGCCAACCAGAGAGATGAATAGAGGCCGGTGATATCTGCAGCAATGAACCTTAAGGGCTCATAATGCTGAACAAGAACAAGAAGAAAGACTCATAAACCACTGACCGAAAGCCGCGAGAACTGCCTCAGGTTCTCCAGTTCATTCATTCTGTTAACATTTCAGACAAGATGGTAACCTCGACTTTCTCTCAGAATTGTAAGGGTTTCATGTCTTCATCAGCCCTGCCATATCTGTTTGTTTTCTACCATTAGGTGTTTTTCTTTTTCATTCCACTAAAAAGAAAAAAAAAACTTTTAGCTGCGACTAAATTCTCTTCAGTTTGTTTGCGTAATGACCATGCGTGACGCTGAATACGATGTCGAAGAGCAAAATCAGAATCGCAGTTAAGGTCAGTCTATACAAATCATTGGTATTGTCTATTTTCTAATACGGATGTGACAGTTGGACTCTTACTGTGGAAATGGTAAGGCTTTCGAAAGTAAATGCTACAGACGCCTCTGACGAATTAGTTATTTAGACCACAAAACTAATAAATATGTCAGAGACAGAATATACAAATTTGCAGGACATCAGGAGCCTCTCTTGGCAGTGGTGAAACGTCGCAAGCTAGCTTGGGTTGGGCATGAGGTGAGACATGATTCGATTGCAAAGACTGTACTTCAAGGAACACTCGGTGGAGGGGAAGGAAAAAGGGGGGGGGGGGTAGAAGAAGAGAAGGGCAAAGAAGAACCTGGTATGGGGGGGAGGGGCGGCGCGCAGAAGAAGAAAAGGGCAAAGAAGAACCTGGAATGACAACATCAAGAAATAGACAGGACTAAGTTATCATACACTTATTCATCAAGCGGAAGACACAGAAAAATATGGCAGGTTTTATGTGCTAGTGCTTTCATCAATACAACTCCACAACCCTAACGGGTCAATAGCAATGATGTGTTACTTTGTATGACGTATACAACAACATAGTTCATAAAAAGTACTTTTTAAACACTCTTTTATAACACTGTTTCTATCTGCAGTTAAAATCTTTTTTTTTTTTTGTCAGCATCTTTTGCATCGGGCTAAAGGCCACTTTATAACTTTACAAAAAGAACAATGTAATTAACTGAAACAGTTGACATAAGAAAAACGAAAACACTTACCAGGCACTTGGTGGCGATGTTCAGGTAAGCAATTGGGGCTATTCCTGTCAGACATTGGTACCTGTATAGTGCATGTGTCTGCAGGGAACAGACCAGACACGGTTAGCTGAATTTATTGAATACTACAGCTACTACTACTACTACAGCTACTACTACTACTACTACTACTACTACTACTACTACTACTACTACTACTACTACTACTACTACTACTACTACTACTACTACTACTATTACCACTACTACTACTACTACTACTACTACTACTACTACTACTACTACTACTACTACTACTACTACTACTACTACTACTACTACTACTACTACTACTACTACTACTACTACTACTACTACTACTTCTACTACTATTACTTTTTCTACTACAACTACTGCTAGTAGTACTATTACTACTACTACTACAACCAGCAAAATTGCTGCCTTTGCTAATACTACCACTACTAATATCAGAGCTACTGCTACTAATATTACTACTATTACCACCACTTTTTCTTCTTCTTCTTCTTCTTCTTCTTTTCTTCTTCTTTTTCTTCTTCTTCTTCTTCTTCTTCTTCTTCTTCTTCTTCTTCTTCTTCTTCTTCTTCTTCTTCTTCTTCTTCTTCTTCTTCTTCTTCTTCTTCTTCTTCTTCTTCTTTACTTCCTCTTTTACCGCTCTGAAATTCAAGCGAGATCAACGGTTCTGTATTTTGCTAATCTGGCTGCCGTTATACACACGCACCTTTCTGATGTAGAGTTTGATGTTATCGTTCCACCTATATCTTGGTCTACTTTATACTCAACGTCCTTCTCCACTGTCGGTGTATGTCTTGTATGTTATGGCGTCACAGGACGTTCTCTTTGAGTAAGCAAAACGTTTGATGTACGCTGCCTTTGTGTGTAATTTAGAATTGGTTCTATGCCGACTTTTTGTCTTATGACCTCATTCTTGATTTTATCTCTTCTGCTGGCTCCTGTAACCCTTCTAAGACTTTCACATTTCTCTGGCCTATAATCTTCTTTTCTGGTTTATTATGTAGCAGCGTACCGATGAGAGTCGTGGACTGTCTCCCAGTCCGTAAGAAAGAGAATAGGGGCTCAGAATATCTTGGACAAAAGAAAGGAGAAATACTGACATCTTGAAAGATCTGAACATCAAAGAAGATTGGCTAATAAAGAGTATCTTGTCTCGGAAGCTGAAATATTTTGGTCATATCAAGCGCTATGACGGATTGGAAAAAAAATATAAAAGCAGAAGGCATGGTACCAGGAATGAGGTGCAGGGGCCGACCAACACGAAGACGGGCACAGGATATAAGTAACTCCTTGAGTATGAAAGTTCATGAGGCGGGAGAACTGGCGAGAGACCGAGTTTCTTTCAGGCAGACCGTGATGAGAGCGACGTTCTGCAAAGGACCTGCTATATGATGATTGTTTATTATGTGTAGCCATATTGTTTGCGTAGACATATCTCTTTGTTTAATTAGCACTCTATCGTGCAGTCTGTCTACTTGCGTGTCTATTCACTTATCATCATTACACTACAGTAACAGTCAGCATGAAATTACTCACCCATCCCTGCCTAAAACAACGTTGGTCTGGTTGGGTTTCTTCGGCGCCCTTATTACAGCGTAGCGGTAAGCTGGAACACAAGATAATTCTGGTTAATTCTTCCCTTTGCTGGAGGTTTAACACGGCAGGCGATGGAGCGGGCAAAGTTTATCCACAATTATCACATGTGCTGTTGTCTTTATAAAATCCATAAAAAGACGTGATGTCTAGAAAAAAGTACCAGTACTGAGTACCAATTAGTACCACCCCCCCCCCCCCCAAAAAAAAGAGGGTTCTTTCGTAATATCCTAAACAAAATGACGTCATATGACAGTCCAACATTTTAGAGGGTGGTAAGACTGGTTTCCAAGCTTTCTGGGGCTTTTAACGACCCTAAAACATCTAGAACTGGCTCTAACCCCAACCCGCCTACGTCCCACGAGAGAGTGCAGTCTAGGTCCCACGACTGCATGCAGCCGATCTACCACCCCCTTAAATATTAGACTGTTCCATGACCTGTGGATTTCCCCTGTTTGGGGTAAGATATTGGGAAGACACTAAAAAAAAGGTCCTAGCCAGTGACGTCTATTGAGGGTTGAGCCAGCGACTGTTCGTCTTCACAACGCAGGACAGGGTGAATGATGACGACAGAGTGAAAGATGATGACAGAGTGAAAGATGATGGCAGAGTGAAAGACGATGACAGAGTGAATGATGATGGCAGAGTGAAAGATGATGGCAGAGTTAAAGACGATGACAGAGTGAAAGATGATGACAGAGTGAAAGACGATGGCAGAGTGAAAGACGATGACAGAGTGATGACAGAGTGAAAGATGATGGCAGAGTGAAAGATGATGACAGAGTGAAAGACGATAACAGAGTGAAAGATGATGACAGAGTGAAAGATGAGGACAGAATGAAAGATGATGACAGAGTGAACGACGATGACAGAGTGAAAGATGATGGCAGAGTGAAAGACGATGACAGAGTGAAAGATGATGACTGATATAATATGACAGAGTGAAAGATGATTACAGAGTGAAAGATGATGGCATAATGAAAGATGATGACAGAGTAAGCGACGATGACAGAGTGAAAGATGATGACGGAGTGAAAGATGATTAGAGAGGAAAACATGATGACAGAGTGAAAGATGATAGCAGAGTGAGAGACGATGACAGAGTGAAAGACGATGACAGAGTGAAAGATGATGGCAGAGTGAAAGATGATGACAGAGTGAAAGATGATGACAGAGTGAAAGATGATGACAGAGTGAAAGATGATGACAGAGTGAAAGATGATGACAGAGTGAAAGATGATGACAGAGTGAAAGATGATGACAGAGTGAAAGAAAATATCCTAGCCACTGACGTCCTTCGAGTTTTTAGCTAGCAACTGTTCGTCTCCACATAACTTAACAAAGTGAAAGATGATGATGACGATGATGGTGATATTGATATCTTACCGTATTTATGGACATAGGGGCCCTCTTTAAGATCATACAAGTCTTCAACAGAGCAATTTTTATTGCGAATGTGACGACAGCAGGCTGCAGTGACGCCCAACACGACAGCTGCTCCAAGGACACTGGCTAGCACACCCCAATTCTCTCCTTGGAATGGCCAGACACTCGCTAAGGAAACAAAAAGGCCAAATACAATTGTTAGTTAGCCGTAAACTGCTGTTAACAGCTTTGTTGAAAAGGCTCACAGTAATTTCTCAAGTTTCCATACTAGCACACACTATACACATGCACCATCGACACTGTGAATAGTAAATCAGGCAGTAGTCACGGTAAAGTCAGCATCACGCACACGCATTAAATGCATCAGGCAATAGTCGGAATGTCAAATACAAATGTAAAGTAGTTGTTTTAAGTAAGTGACACTTTTTGCAGTCAGTCTCCAGGACGATTTAGGTGTGTTGGGCAACGAACGTGAAGCCAGACTGGCTGATCTGCACCACATGGTAGTAAATATATGCAGGATAAGTTAGATTTTATCAAGGCCCATTGACAGCGAGAAAACAGTGGAAGGCAAAAATATATCATCACGGTGTAAGGAGAATGGTGCAGCGAAAACTGACTAGGTGATCTGACCAACGGTCAAGAATAAGAGTAAAAGGCAACACGGACATACAGTCTGACTGCTAGCAGTACCATCGACGCTGGAACTCTGCTGACTGCAGAAGATGAGAAGGAAGCGCTTATGGGACTGTTCCCGGGGGTATGGTTTTGGCTCTTAACTCAGTTCGACCCATTTAGGTAAGGAAAGGGCACGTTTTTCACCATTAGCTTATCTGGCGTATAGTACTAGACCTATAATTGTAAAGATTAATTAGAACACGTTGCGTGTTGCAGGGAACATCACGCTGGCACATGAATTTCCTGGCACCCACGTTAGGCTGGATAGACCCAGCAATCATCCTAATTTTTATTATATTAGATTTAATTCTCTGACTTCGCCAGGGATAGTGGGAGTCATTGTGTTCCGTCCTCTACCTTATCTTGGTCTCTCTTTCCTAAATGTAGGCCTAGTGAAAATAATGGTCTAATTGAAACCGTATATTTAATATCCCGTCTTCCACTTCATCTTTTAAGGAGGCTGCGTGGTTTCGAGGCATGGCGTCCGCCCCGAGTGCTTGAGGTCCCGAGTTTAGGCACCGGTGAAGGCTGGGATTATTTCACTTGGACTTCTAGTAGTTTCCCCTGGCCTCTGGGTAGTAAGATCAAACGCCCGTGTGTATTATTGCGCACCTAAAAATCTGTTAGTAGTTGGAAATCGACAAAAATAGCCAAAAGGAGGTGCCCGGGCAAAATTGGAGTTTAAAATCAACCCAAAGTATTTCAGGATCCCCGCCGGGGCTACGGAGTTCGTGCACTGCGCTGAGAATCTTTGGAGTCAGGCTGGAGTCAGAAGTAAATCGGAGCAATTATGGATTTTGTGCCATGATGTTGATCCTTCGTCTAAACCTAAACCTACTTCATCTTTATCTCCACCGCTGCCGTATCAATAGTCATTGCCCAAAAGTGCACTCGAATTGTATTTTAAAGGGAAGTAACAGGAAAAAAATTAAAGGGATTAAAGTCCAGGAACATTCTACTTTTACTTTTTGTCACAATGAATAAAGAAATGCACAAAAAAACCAGGTCGCCAGTGTGACTATTATATTAAACATTGAAGTCATAATAGCAGAATGAAAATTTAACCAGTGTATTGGTCACAGTTTGGAAGGTGTTACCACTTTATTTATGATAAACACACGCAACACAGAGGGTTTGTAATTTATAGCATAGTTGTGCTTTGACGCGACTACGAACCCGATATATTTACAACAACATATAGTCCGTTTTTTAACCATTGCTCTCAGTCTCTCTCTGTGAGATGCGAGTTTTAGTTTTGTGAAGCCCTTCTCTGGCTCTTGCCAGGGGCCGCAATATAGCCCGGCCATAAATATGGTCTAATGGCTGAACGCGGTTTCTGGGATCTCTCCACGGGTGATCTTCATCCACATGGTGGTACTTTGTGTCATCGGGTGTTTATAGCTTGTGTGATGTCCTGGTGGGGTAAAAGAAAATAGAGAAGAACCGACACATTGAATCTGACTCTGCAAACTATTCGAGGAGAAAAGAAGAAGAAGATATTAGAATCATTGCGCTACTGGTGGCCAAACCTAATATCTAAATTCAAATATTTCTCTTCTAGCTCCGGTGGAATGTTCTGGTTACTCGTCCACTTCTGGACTTTACTCTTGGTCTATAACTTGAGTTCTGTGTGCATATCCATTTAAAAGATCTAGCATATTTATATGCAGACTGTTAGTTCCTCGTGTCTAAGGCAGATGCACTGTGACTTAGAAAGAAACATCCTAAGTAGTCGACCTTAGCGACATGCTTTTTAGGGACCGTGAGTCTATTCTCTTCTCCCCTTTCCCCCATTCATTTCAATCCTGTGCAGTCAGTTTACTATCATAGATGGAATCCTGTCCAGCCCCGTTGGCCTCTCTCATCAGCGTTCGTTTTAGGGTTTCATTTGACTTCCTAGCTTCCTCAACTTCTTTATTCAGATTTCAGCGCCTGTCTGATGATTCTCTGCTCGTTTCTTCTCAGAATGTGTCCAATATAGGGCCGTCTTCTTTGTTCTGTGAGGGGGCTGCCTGGTCTCGAGGCATGGTGTTCGCCTCGAGTGCTAAAGGTTCCGGGTTCAATCCCCGGTAAGGGCTGAGATTTGTTTACGTGGACTTGGACTTTTAGTATTTCCCCCTGGTCTCTTTTTAGTAAGATGGTGATAATGATACTATTGGTGATAATGATACTATTGGTGATAATGATACTATTGGTGATAATGATACTATTGGTGATAATGATACTATTGGTGATAATGATACTATTGGTGATAATTATACTATTGGTGATAATGATACCATTGGTGATAATGACACCATTGGTGATAATGAGTTTCAATTAAAGGTTACTTAAAATCGTGTGCATCGTTGTGCACATAAAAAAGAACTCTTGGCATTTGGAAATCGGAAAAAAACAAAAAAACAACAACAACAACCAAATAGCTCTGCCCAGGCAAAATGTGAAGTTACAAATCTACCCAAAGTATTTCAGGATCCTCGCTGGTGCTACAGAGCCTGTGCACTAAGCTGAACTTCTTCTTATACTCAGACTTGAGTTAGAAGAAGAACGGAGCACTTATAGGTTACTACCCGTGTGCCATGATGTTGATCTTGTTCAAACATCAAACCTCAAACCTCTTTGTCCTATAACTGTTGTTACCAATGGTTGCCCACATATTTCTCAAATTTCTTTACCCCTCTTGAATTCATCGCTTTTTGATGTCAGTTGTTGATTACAAATGTGTGTCTTGCACCGTGTTTACCATAGGACAATGCCATTCTCTTTCAAATCAGGCCTGTCCAATTCAGTTGTTACGAATCCCATTTAATAAAAATAAAATATACATGTACCACTGGTTGGTTAATTCATTCGTCTGCTGAGTTTTTAAACGATTTTAAGTAACCTCAACTCATTATCACCAATGGTATCATTATCACCAACGGTATCATTATCACCAATAGTATCATTATCACCAATGGTATCATTATCACCAATAGCATCATTATCACCAATAGTATCATCATCACCAATATTATCATTATCACCAATAGTATCATTATCACCAATAGTTTCATTATCACCAATAGTGTCATTATATCCAATATTATCATTATCACTAATAGTATCATTATCCCCAATAGTATCATTATCACCAGTAGCATCATTATCACCAATAGTTTCATTATCACCAATAGTGTCATTATAACCAATATTATCATTATCACTAATAGTATCATTATCCCCAATAGTATCATTATCACCAGTAGCATCATTATCACCAATAGTTTCATTATCACCAATAGTGTCATTATAACCAATATTATCATTATCACTAATAGTATCATTATCCCCAATAGTATCATTATCACCAGTAGCATCATTATCACCAATAGTTTCATTATCACCAATAGTGTCATTATAACCAATATTATCATTATCACTAATAGTATCATTATCCCCAATAGTATCATTATCACCAGTAGCATCATTATCACCAATAGTTTCATTTTCACCAATAGTATCATTATAACCAATATTATCATTATCACTAATAGTATCATTATCCCCAATAGTATCATTATCACCAGTAGCATCATTATCACCAATAGTTTCATTATCACCAATAGTGTCATTATAACCAATATTATCATTATCACTAATAGTATCATTATCCCCAATAGTATCATTATCACCAGTAGCATCATTATCACCAATAGTTTCATTATCACCAATAGTGTCATTATAACAAATATTATCATTATCACTAATAGTATCAATATCCCCAATAGTATCATTATCACCAGTAGCATCATTATCACCAACAACATCATCATCAAGCGTATTGTCGTCGGGTGGCCACCATGCCTCTCCACCAACTACGATCTCCAACAGCGCAACAATCAGTTCCTTGCTGACATCCTTTATCTCGTGACAAAAATGGTTGTCAAAAATCTTCTCGCTCTGTGTTCTTGCATTTGACTCACAGAGTATTTTGAGAAAAGTGGAGACAGGCATGCTCCGTGCAGAGTGGTAAGCATCGTTTCAGAAGTCCTGGGTAGTTAGCGTTCCTTTGATATTTTCTTTAGGTTGCTGGTGTGTTGGGAAACGATCAGGTAGATAGACTGTCGGGTTCTGCACCACTTGGTCCTGAAGTAATGTATGACAAGCTAGATGTTGTGAGGGCCTTTTTGGGAGCCAGTGAACAGTGCGAAGACACAAATAAATCATTACAGTCTGAGGAGTTACCAGGAAATCTTGCTCACTCTGAACACCCAAGAGAAAGACGAGACGGATATACAGACATTTACTGGTACCATCGGAATTGGAACTCTTCGCTTGCTGCCGAAGATTGGGACAGGGCGCTTATGGGAATGTCCATAGTCTTCCTCAATATCTCTATTTACAATTTTGTTCCATTAGTCACACGCTGGTCTAGTTTCTTTTTTCTCATCATGTGAGACCAAAACATGATGGCTGTCTCTCGGGTGGTTTATGATGGGTTGTCCTCG